GCTAGGACTTCCAGTACAATGCTGGGAAGTTCTAGGCTTTTGACCATTTAAATTGCTCCGAAGAAAGGTTGGGCAATCTACTTCTGTAGTGATACTGCCTTGGAAACCCAAGGAGAGGTTGCTATGAGTCGGATCTGACTCCACAGTAGTGAGTTAGTTGAGTTTGAGGATGTGATTATAATTTCTTATGGGTATAATATATACCTAAATTATTTATCATCTTTCTTCAGTTTTTTTTTTGTATATTTCTCCTCCAAATTATAAATAATTTGAGAGTTCAAATCTTTAGAACTTAAGTTATTTGAAAGTTTTCCTGGTTTGTAAAGTAATACTGTTTTGCTAGCTTCTCATGATCCAAGATAAACTATTTGTAGGTAGTTTGTGATACCTGTAGTAATCCATTATGAAGAATGTATAAATGTATTTAATATGAGTAAAGAATAACCATTCCTCACCTATTGACATAGTTAGGTTTCAAAGACCAGGTCATTATGAAAAAACTGGCCTTATGTGAAAATGGTGGATAAGCGCATCAGATCACAAAATAGAGGATAACTACATCATTACACGACTGGCAAATTATATCATTACACAACTGGCAAGTTACATCATTACATAACTGCCAAACCACTAGGAATTATGGCCTAGGCAAGATGACATATAACCTTAACCATCACAGCCACCATTACTCTTGCCTAGCACCTTGGCATTTGCTACTGCCAGATATAAGTCATTAATGTGCAAAATAGTTGCACAGCAGATATTTTAGTATTGTAAATGTGAAATGTTGGATAATGAGAAAGTCAGTAAGTGAAGAGTAGGTATATACATTAACTAGGACATAGCATAGGTAGTAAGATCCTGCTTGCTATGTTTTGCTAGACAAATCCATTTAGCACAGGTTCAGTAGAGAGAGAATTTTATTAAAGCTTTTTTTTTTCCTTTCACTTTTTAAATTTATTTAGTTTGACCAGGTCACTAAGTTTGCAAGAAACATCTTCGAATGTCTGCTTTAAATAGGACCCTTACAGTTCTGTCCATAAATACATCTGTGTTTTCATAAAGGCTCCTGGTAATTGTAATGTTACTACTGCATCAAACATATGACCTTATGGTCCAAATAATTTTCTCTAATTGCTAAGCTAAACCTATCTTTCCATCTTTATCTTACTCACTATTGCTTATTTTAACACTAAGGAAGAATGGCTCTCCCTTTGTACTTTTTTCTTCTTATTCTTTCCATAGCTTTATTTCTGCAACAAAGAAATAACACTTTTTTCCCTTTTGTTTAAGTAGCTTTTTAGGAAAGGGATTAGTTCTCATCACCAGCCACTATCTGCTAGTGGGTTTGTAGGTGAGATAATTGAATGATTATTCTTGTTATTACTTGGTTATTGGTTTATTCTATCACCTTAGAAAAATTCCTGAACATTTCTGAGGTACATTTTTCTCATATGTGAACACAGACATTAATAAACCCTGTAAACAAGGAATTGTAATGAAAGATACTTCAGGTAATTCCAGATTCTAAAGACCCACTATTTCTTATTTTCAGACTGTAGATTTGTTGAGATAAAACATAATGAGGGCTTTTGTAAGGTGATTGTGCCATCTTCACAGTCAATTAAGAGACATTTGTTTATAAAGACCACACTGCCTTCACTACCATTTTAATTGAGTGCCTGTTAGGTACTAGGCATAGTGGTAAGTAATTCACACACATCGTGTCATTCAAATGAAGCAGGTGGTAATTGTAGGTC